CCAGAGCTCTCTTCAATTCTCTCTAAACTAATTAATAAGTGCTTGACTGAATCTTGTTTTCTTGCCTGCTGGAAAATGGCATTGGTGGTTTTAAAAAAATCTGGAGCACATTCTAGCCCTTCCAAATATCCGATAAGTCTTCTTTCTGCTATTAACAGTCTTTGATTTACAAATTTCTAACATCCTATCTTGAGTCAAACAAATTGCTGTCAGAAAATCAATGCAGTTTTTGATCTTCTTGCTCTACAACTTATGTGACTGAAAGTTTTTATTGTGCATTAGATGAAGACGGGGAAGCTAGGACTATTGCTCTGAAATATCCAAAGCTTTCGTCAAATTTTGAAATACTGGTCTTCTCCATAAGCTTGCTTTATATGGTGTATCTGGGAAAGTTTTTGAAATTATCAAATCATTTTTTTCAAACCACTTTATTAAAGTCACCCTCGAAGACCAGTACTTTCTTCATTTCTAGTAACTTCTGGTGTACCTCAAGGTTCTATCCTTGCTCTTGTTTTGTTTCTTATCTATATTAATAATCTTATTGATAACATTATATATTTCCTAGGAGTTACTAGAAAACCAAGTTCACTTCTAACAAGCTTGCAGTCTTGTTGGAAGTGAACTAGAACAAAACAAAATATAAAACCATCAGCAAATAAATAAAATTTGGACAGATTGGGAAATTTTGTTTTTATTGTGTTTTTATAGTTGAACTACAAAAGCATATTTTTCTGCAAACTTGCCAATAATTATTATGCTTGATTGGTCCATATTTAGTTTTAGTTGATTAAGGTCACAATGACTTCTCAGTCAGAGCGATAAAATAATGAGTTTGTAGCTTTTCAAAGCAAGATGCTAATAGTACAATCAAAGTCAGAACATTTGTTGCATTTGATCTCTAGTTTGCCATTATTAATAGTTTATCTCAAATAATCTTTGTATTCTCTGAAAATCTTATTCAAGTACATGAGTAATTCTTAACCAGGTAATTGAGTAGTTCTTAACCATGACCACCATCACACAGTGCAAATATGTATTACTTGTATCTTATCGTGTAAACAGTTTTTAAAAGCATATCTTTATACATTTCACCATTGTTTAAGGCATCCACTAACAAAATGGAATTTTGGTGAAAAGAATAAACAAAAACAGAATGTGTACCACTTGCACTAGGCAAAATACACTATTTTGATTTAATTGAAGCAAATTTTGAGTATTTGAGTAGCTTATTTGTACTTCTCGATTTCCTTGTATAATATATCGTTCTTTTAAATTACCCAAAATTAGTTTTTTATGTGTTGTATTGTATCCAATACTTATATAATCTTTTTTTTCAGGCATAGTTCGACATTAAATCATTCGAGTCATAAAACATTTGAACAGAACAGAATTTAGACTTAAACTTTTTCTTTATACTATGGGGGAAAAGCAAACATTCCTTTTTTGCTAAAAATTTAGCCATCTTTGCTTGATATTTTGCAACTTTAAAGTTATTTTTTACTTATATATATATATATATATATATATATATATATATATATATATATATATATATATATATATATATATATATATATATATATATTTATGTAAGTATGTATGTATGTATGTATGTATGTATATATATTATATATAATTTAAACTATTTAAATTTTACAGCTACACACATGATTTTTTTTTTGTAATGGATCACATTAAGCATTATGCCATAGAATGCCTTTCACATAATATTGTTAAGTTTGATATCTTAATGTTACAGCATAAAGATATATATATTTATTTTTTTATTATTTAAAGTTTCAATAACATCTTGTTTGCTTTCGCATGCCTCAGATTTAAGTATCACTAGAATACATCCTAATGTGATAAGTCAATTGGTATGAACTATAAGAAAAAAATATTTTTAAAATAAACATATAATTTTTTGTTCCCTTATTAACTTTTAGTGTTTAAAAAAAAAAATTTTAACGTAGAAATAGTTCAAAACTTTTTAGATTCCTCCGTTAATATGATGTTTTGTACTTGTAGATATTGTTAATTTTTATTTATTTATACCAAATTTTCAATTTATAAAAATTACAATAAACTCTTACCAATTAATGTAGTTTTATAACTGAACTTTTTATAAACTATATAAATTCAAAAATTTAATAAAAAAATACTGCTTTGTTTATTAAACTTTTACAATTATATCACGTATATATTTATATTTATTATATTTATACAATTATATCCCATATATAATTATATTTACAATCATATACACTTGATTAGTTTTTGTATAGAAACATGAAAAGTGTTTCAGTAGTTAAGATAATTATGTAATTGTGTAAGACTTCCTTTGTTGTTTTTCAAGTTAGATTTTTTTTAATGTTATGAAAACATCTTGGGAGTATTAAGCTGAGCCATTCATCATTTTGAGCTAAAAAATTTTGTGTAAACTTTTCTCTGTAACATTCAACAGCCAAAAAAGTTTGAAGAAAATAAAAAAAACAATGGTTCAAAATTGCCTAAATTTTAAGTAATTGGATGAGGAATTACTCTATCTTCTTTGGACAAGTTCAGGAATTCTAAGACAAACAAGTCAATCTTCATAGCTTACTAATTGAAAGTATAAACTTAGTAACACAACATTGCATATACAACTTACTTTGATTGTACTTGATAATACTTGGTTTTTTAAATACATTTTATCTGAAAAATTCAACCTCAGGTGAATCAAAAAACATCATTTTGGGTTTACAACTGTTTTTTAAAAAATGGATATATTTCTTATTTTCATAGCCATAAGAACTTGTGTCCATACATATGCAGTTTAAATCACATTTTAATTTGTCACTTAATTCATTCTAATTTACATAATTTATGTATTATCAGACATAAAACTTTTTACTTTTTATCTGCAATTTTTTATAGACTCAGAAGATTTTTTATATAAAGTTTAAAAAGTAGTTGGTTTGAAAAACTACTATGTACACCTCAGCCGAAGTTGAAACGTAATATACCACAACTACTTTCTGCCTTCTATTAGAAAAGAAAGCATCAAACCAATAAAGTAAGGATGCAAAGTCCCAAAAAGGACTACCAATTTGAAAGCCACAAAAAGATAACTTTTCCAGCTAATGGTATTCAGCAGCCCTAAAAATTTTTAAAAACTAATGAAATAAAAGTTATGACTTTTAGGTTAGAGGAACAATCAATTTTTGAACATAGAGTCTTTAGGTATAATGGCAGCAAGGACTCTGAAACTCGAGGCTTAAAAACAAAAAGTTACAAGACATCAGAGACCATGAAAAAATTAAGATATAAAGCCAGAGTTCCTTTGGGATTCAGCAAACCTTTTGCAAAATCAAGTAAAACCATATAAACTGGAATTCCTTGGTTAACATTTTTCGTAATTTTTCTTTCGGAATGAAAGGGACTTTATTGTATTGCCCAACCACAAGGTTGTTCACTAAATATCTTTACCAAAAAAGAAGAAAAAAAGGTGCAAAATTTGACTGAGTAAATATATTTGAAATATAATTATTTATTTCCATTATCAAAGATACATTTTAACATTACCTATTTACATTTTGAATGTTCTAATAATTCATTTATTCAACCATAAAATATGAAAATTTGCAATAACATTTTATAAATTCACATAAATAAAGTTAGGTGTCACTCATATAATTAAAAACTAGTCAATGGAGTGACACTTAAAAAAGAATTAAAAAAAAAAACAAAAAAAAAACTCACTAAAACATAGAAAGAATTTAAAATAAAATAAAGAGGGGAAAAACAAAAAAAAAATTCTTCATTAAATTCTTAAGTGACAGTTTTAGCTTTTTTGATGACACTTGGTGATGGATCATATTTAAAGCATGGTTTACTTTTTGGTCTGTTCATTTGAGACAAAATAATACTTGCTGATGTTTCAGTTAGTTGAAATTTAGTCGGGTTAAAACTTGCTAATAAGAAAGGAGTTTTTCAATTTTTTTTTATATGCGAGAGACTTGACAGGACTGATAAATATATAGATATGAATAATATATACATACATATATATATATATATATATATATATATATATATATATATATATATATATATATATATATATATATATATATATATATATATATATATATATATATATATATAAATATATATATATATATATATATATATATATATATATATATATATATATATATATAATATATGTATGTATTTATACATACATACATACATACATACATACATACATACATACATACATACATACATACATACATACATACATACATACATACATACATACATACATACATACACTGAAAGGTCTAATACATACGTATGTATGCATATAAATATATACATACATATATAATAGTGTGTATGTATATATATATATATATATATATATATATATATATATATATATATATATATATATATATATATATATATATATATATATATATATATATATATATATGTATATATATATATATATATATATATATATATATATATATATATATATATATATATATATATATATATATATATATATATATATATATATATATATTATATCACACTCTCTCTCAATCTAAAGAAAATGTGAAAGAGAGTTAGTTTATTCACAAAGGAAGTGTTTAATCTCTTAAAGAAAAGAGCAGTGATAAATAAATGAAAAATACTTATTGGATTTTTCTTCAACTGTTAGCTTCATTAAACAACATTGAAATTCTCTATCTATATTTAATTAAACAGATAAAACTGACAGTTGAAGAAAAAAATATATTGAAATAATAAAAAAAAACCTAAAAAAAAACCTTAGTTTTTAAGTAATGTTAACTTGTAAACTTTCAGTTTCGATCATATTATCAGGCCCAAAAGTAAAAAACTTCTAAAAGCCACACCTGAAAACAATTATAAAGTCATCTTCGTATATTATAAATTCTAACAATTACGCGTAATAATATTTAGATTGGAAACTCACGCCTTACCTTGTCGCATTTATGGCAAGGTCTGGCATTAAATTTCTTGATTCTAAATCTCTTGATTCGTAGCGTTCTGATCACTGCGCCACGGCAGCTTAACAATTGCTCTTAAGTGGATATATGCGGCAACCACTGCCATGCGAGATAAATAGTAAAAGTGATGAACATACTTCTGGATCAGAACAATTTCGAATTCGGTCTCTTCATTCTCCAAAACTAGATACGGTTTATGGAACGCTTCTTACACATTAGCTATAAGACGGACTTGAAGGCCTTGCAAGTTAGAAAGGGCAAAGCAAAGGAACATAAAATAATACCTGACGTTGAAAACTTTTATGTGATAAGTTTTTTGTTTTTTTTTATTTTGCTTACATTAAAATGTCACAGTACAATTATATGCCGTATATGTGGTATTAAAATTAAAAAAATTCCAATACCAGAATAATTAATTATATATATTCTGAAATAAGTTGTAAAATTTCAAGGACTTTTACAAATAATACAAGTACTAATGTAAAATAAAACCCCGCAACATTACAATTAAAGTGATCATAATAACAATAATAATAATAGCAATAATAATAGTAATGATAATAATTATAGAAATAATATTAACAATAATAATAACATGACGATGAAGAGGAATAAAATAAGATAAACACTCACATATATAAATATAAGCATTTATACACTTACAGATGTATAGATGCCAGATATATAATTTGCTAACAATTAAACATAAGCTAGGATCTGAAAGAAGATCACATCTTGTCGTCAGAACCTTATAAAATACAAGCAAGCAAAGTAAAGACAAGTATAACATACCAAAAATAAAATAAAATAAAAAAATAAAAAAGTGATAAAACCCAAGTCAAATAACAATTTTTAAAATATTAGAAGTATTTAGATACTTCTAATATTTTGAAAATTGTTATTTGATATATATATTAAGTGTTATGTATATTATCAAGTGAAAAAATACATTTTTTAAGGTAGAGCTTAAAAAGATAAAAGAAAGTTGGTTGATCGAGATTTTGCAGAACAATGCTAATCCATAGCACAGTGGTTTGAAATAATCAAAAAGTGGCATAAATTCCAGATTTGCGAAAATCCTATATAAAAAGTTCTGAATATGCAAGATTGTTGCAAATTAGTCATATTTTTATGTTCTGAAAAATTTTTTCTTTTTAGACCACTTGGCGAATCCCCACAGATGCTCAAAGTTGCCATTTTTTAAGAACAATCATTTAGTGAAAAAGCAATAATTTCGAACTTTCGTTTTATTTCTTAAACCACACCTGTGAACTTCCATATATTATATATCAATCAGAACAATATTAAAGAGGCTTTCAGACTATAATGTAAAATATTTTATAAAATTACTTTTCATGCCGTAAAAATGCAGAGAAAAATAACTTTTTAGACTAGGAAATAATAGTATACTTGAATGTGACTTTTATTAAATTCTGTATGTTTCTGTAAAATCCTGAATATGTATGGATGAACTTCGACCATTCTTTTTTTTATCCAATATAGGTTTTAATGCCGCCCGGACCCACCCAAGAACAGCTATTTTTATTTTTATTTTATTTTTTTTTTTCATAAAACATGACAGTCATTTTTATTCAGTGCTAAAAATCACGCTCCAATTTTATTTTTCAATATATTCCTTAATATGCATTAAATAAAGTTATTAAATTAAAAATGAAATTGAAAAAATTGATTTTTTTAAAAAAATACAAAAGCAGTTATCCCCAAGTAATGAGGACTTGCGGAATAAGAAAAAACATGCAAAACAGAAGCACTGATATCATTTAATTATAAAAGTTTCGAATTATTTAAATTAAAAGTAAATTTCATAGTTATAGCTGAGTATTTGTTCGCTATCGGATAAACTGTTATCGGCTTCTATATCAACGCAATCTAATTGTCGATAAACATCAATTAGTTAACAACTTTTTCAGACAGATTAGAAGTTGCTATTTTCTTTTAGCTCATTTTCCTTTATCTTTAAAAGGCAATGTATGTCGCCCTTTCCTTAATTCTGGTGTTTCTTATACGTTTGAGAGTTTCCAGATAAGTTCTTTAAACTCTAAACTAGTTTTATCTGGAAACTCTCAAACGTATAAGAAACACCAGAATTAAGGAAAGGGCGACATACATTGCCTTTTAAAGATAAAGGAAAATGAGCTAAAAGAATAGCAATTTCTAATCTGTCTGAAAAAGTTGAATATGATACAAAGTATATACTCGATACAACAAGATGCACAGCCAAACAAATAGCTAATAAGAACTTAGAAAAAATTATCATGTGCATTTTACGAGATTAACAATTGCCATATGATATCAATAAAAACATTGAAAAAGAAATAAAATTGTCAAGTGATGAAATGACTGTCAAAAGATCGTGTTAACAACTCAACCAGCTAAGATAGAATGCATTGATTCTGCAAAGAGCTATGCTCTAGAAGTTGCCCAATCAACAATGTAATTCTCGGCGCTGGCCTAAAAATAGTCAACTTTCATCAGCTCGGCAAAGCATATGTTTGCTGTTCTTATACACAGAAATCAATCAATATTGACTTGTTTTGACCACTAGACACATGCATTCATCGGTGAAACCTTTTTGGTCATGATGGTTATCATTGCCAATGAGGTCGGATTTTGTCAAGCGAGATTTATTTCGTCTTGACGGTCGCAGAAAGTTTTACCACTTTGTGAACTCCAGACGGCAGTTAACACTCCATGACACCAGCAACAGTACCATCTCAAAAGACCGTACTGTAAAACTGTACCCTCGGTTAGTTAATTAACAACGCTTAACATTACTTTTATTTTGTGTTGTAGTAATTTTGCTGGATTTAAAAACAAATTGCTATATTCTAAATATAGAGATATAAAACATCTTTTTGTAAATATTACAATATTTAATACAATATTTACAAATATATCAATAAGAAAAATTACATGCAAAGAAAACGTTAAATATACTATAATACTCAGTAAAGACCATACAGGTCTTGTCACCGAGAATCGCTGTTGAAGAATTTTGAACTTAATTTAGATTTTAGAAAAAACAAAAATAAATAAATACAAATTTAAAACTTTTCTTTAGTTATGGTCTTTATGGCTTGAATTAAAATACTTATTCTTCTGAATCGCATGACTCATGGAAAACAATAATATCATCATATTCTTGATAAACGAATACGTCTCGCATCATACTCGCATCTATACGATCACTGAATCTTGTTACTCAAGTGTATCTTACAATTACACTAATCTTAATTGTTAATTAATAAGTAAGCGAAAATAATAAGAATATGACTGCACTAGGTACATCCAAATGCACTTCAAGGTTGTTCAAAAGATTGTGTAGAAGAGTTTACAAAGCCAAATGATGGTATCTCTGTGTGTGAAGCCAAAATTATCAAAAGCGTAAACGTTTACGTTTACGCTTCCACCGACAAAAGTGCTAAACCACTGTCAAAGGATGGTTAACTTCCAGAAGTATCATACATATTTGCAGATACATCCATTCACATACATCAATTATTTTTTTTTATTCTTTTATTATTATTATTTTTTTTATAATAGTATATATATATATATATATATATATATATATATATATATATATATATATATATATATATATATATATATATATATATATATATATATATATATATATATATATATATATATATATATATATATATTACAATATATATAACTTATGACTAGCTAAATTATTTAAAACGCGTATTAAAATGGGTTAATTTATTTTGGCGGGGATTATAAATATTTAATTTATTTTGCCATATTTTAATATAAATTTAACTCCCGGGGTTAATTTATTTCGAAATAGATTAACCGGGAAGTTAAAATGTTTTAACCGGGAGTTAACTTTTCGAGGAGTTAATCCGTTTCGCGTCACCGACCTTCATAGTTACCACTCAGGTTTTTGAGAAAACCCCATATTTTCCATCGCAAAAACCCCAGAAATACCCTGATTATGTAAACAATATTAAGTTATTGTAAAAATAAATTTTCTTTCACAAGCATTTGTCTGTGATGACCGTGGCACTATTAACAATAAACCTAAGCCAAAAACATTATATTTACTAAAAGTATACCTAACTAAATTAACTACAAATTTACAACTTAATTAACTTTATTACAGTTGTTTAACATTTGAGTAAATTGTTATACTCAGAAGTTAAACTGTATTATAACTGTCGTTTATAAGCGACTCCGCCTCCATACCAACAACTTCATCTTCTGCTTTGTTAAGATCAAAAGTAGAAACTGACAACCTAGATAGCTGCTTGTGGAGTTTTAAAATATCTGCATAACTCTGTCAGCAACGTCTATCGCCTACACTTCGATCACGGTTCGGTTAGGTTTAAATTGATGACAAGCTCCATTCTTAGCAACTGCTTGCTTTGTTAGTATTCAATTTGCTACTGTTTCGCAAAGAAGCTTGTTAGTTTGTTTAGTTTTAACCATGTTAATAGTCGAAAATACTCTTTCCACACATGCTGAGGAGTGTGGTAATGATAAAAGATTGCACATAAAGTTACACAAAATATCCAATTTCTTCCGGTAATTAGCATTCGTTACTTCTTGAAGTCCCAGCCAGAATGTCGTAACTATGTGACCAAAATTGTTTTTGTTGTTTCTTCTGCTAACAATACTTGGTAAATTTACTGCTAATGTGATGGAAGGTTTATTTCTCAGAAGGGTTTTCTTTCTCATCTCTGCCAGAACACTTTTTTGTTCCAATAGAAACCTGTGTTTTATTTAAACGCAAAGTTTAATCAGGAATGAAAATACATCCTCGCTAACCGGAGTTCTTTTTCTCCTATTGGTTTTCTCTTAATAATTGGCGAATTAACTGGGCTTTATATTATCCACCCGAGTCAATGGTACAAAGTTTCCAAAGGCTGGTTACTTAGCAAGAATCAATATTGGCAAATGTATGATGCTACAATACTCCTTGTGTAACAAAACTTTTATGTTTCAAAACTTTATGTTGCTGGATTTAAACTGCATCTTTTATTAACTAAAACTCATTTTTTTTATTTGCTTCTACATGAAAAACAGAAGTAGACATTCTTTACAAAAACTTCGAACCACGATGGCAGGCAATTGCTAGCAGTATTTCTACAAATATTTACAACTTCAACTCACTCAAAATGAGCAATACCATACAGCATAACATAGGAGCCTTGGTGCACTTCAGTGTCATTTATTTAGCAATTGCGCTGTCTGGGTATATCTGTTTACAGCATTCAATCCAAATGGTCGGCTTGTAAAAATGGTGTATTATGTTCTGCCATAAAAGCCGTCAACAAGATCTCTGCTCTTGCAACTTTTTCTGGAAGGCTGGATTCTTTTGGTTTAGTGAAAAACTTGTTGATGTTTAAAGTTTTACTTCTGGCATTGAGTACTTCTGTGTGGCTTTATGTGCTAATAAAGAAGTTTTGTTACCATTAGTTAATCTACTAGAGCATACAGTACAAATTGTAGTTTAACGGTTACCAGAGTCCGGTTTATCCAAGCATTTATTTCACCACTCTTAACAGAATGCCTGCCAGGTCTTTGATTTTTTATGCGGCGGGGTGTTTAATGCCGTGCCAGTAGTTTTTCTGCCATTGTCGCGACGAATGAGCGACAACGCGCTGTCGCTCATTTTTTACTGCATTAAGTATAACTAAATAACATCAAAATTGAATAAAAACATATGTAGTATGAAAAAAAAAATCGAAAACAAATACTTATTTAATAATATATTTAAATAATTTCAAATTTCAAACTAAAGATTAACAAATCGCATAAAAACCAAACACCAAACAAGAAATAAAATCAAAAAACCAATTGAATTAAAACTTTATTAAGTAAAGGTTAAAATTCGAATTTTCAAATTAAAAATTGAATAGCAAATTTCAAATATTTTTTACCTGTGTTAATTGGGCAAACCGACTATCAAATATAAATCTTAATTTATAAACGAAACCCCCCCCCCAAAAAAAAAAAACACAAAAACTTAGACATCAATAAAAAAAACTTCGACTAGTGGAAAAAAACCCAGATGCGGCATTACTGCCGGCCTTGTTCCTTGAGCAATCTCGAACTAAAAGACTTCTTAAAGGAGGTTTAAAGTAAGATGTCAAGTTAGATTATTTTAAAAATATTATTTTTAAATTATTTGATTCTAAAAGTTAAAATTTGAAGGATATTTTTTAACTTTATTCCTATTAAATGTTAAAACAATTGTATTGCTTTGATCGTTAACAACTTCGTATTGACAAAAGAAACAAAAAAAAAAAAAAAAAAAAAAACAAAAAAAAAACGATATTATATTACAATCGCAAAAACGCACAATATCATATTACAATCTTGAAGCCTGTAATTTTTAAGGAAATGGCGATATGTTTCACTTCTTTTTTGATAAAATATTTTAATTTTGTTGTTATTATATTCATCTTAAGTAAAAACGTTTGTTTTTCAGCATATTGTGGCAATCGCCTTTATCTTACTTACATATCCTCACACGTAAATAACGGTTGTATTTCAGTTAATCAAACTTATAGTGAATGTAACGATATTAATGATGCAATTATTACATCGTCTTTCAATAATTCGTGTTTCTTTGTAGACTTGATTGGCAACGTTAATTTGAATGTTAATTTAACGCTAATAAATATTCATGGATTCACATTGCATGGAAAATCTAAAAATTTGACTGTAATAACATGCAACAACTATGAGAATGTTTCATCAAAAGGAATTCTTGTTGCAGAGTCTTCAGATATTTTTTTTACATCATTTTCCTTACGTTTATGCGGATTGCACAGAAATCTAAGCACTTACCGAATCGATAAAGAACTCCCTATTTTTTCCAGTGCAATTTATTATGAAGGTGTAGAGGACATTTTTATTGAGAATGTTGGAGTTTTTGAAAGTAGTGGGTATGGCATAACAATATTTAATCCCAAAAAAAGTTGTGTTTTTAACAGCGTAGTTGTTTCAAGGTCGATAACTAAATTAATTGGAACTTTTTTGTCTTTTGGAGGTGTTTATTTAGATATTTCAAACAATGATTTCATATCTATTCTGTTTAATAAAACAAGCCTTCAGTTAAATTCCATGGAAGATAGTAGAAATTGTAAAAACCTAAAGTTCATAAAATGCACTTCTAAAAAAAGTCTTTTATATACCTTTAATGGTGCAACTTCTATAAATAAACCTATCTATGGTGAAAACAATTTTTACAATGATGGTCAACATTTGAGTACTCCAGTTAATAAAGGTGGTGGGATATCAATATTCTTTAGAAATAATGCATCAAATAAAATAATAAACTTTACTGATTTTTCAATTGACAATAATAAAGCTTGTTTTGGAGGTGCATTGTACCTATATCTGAGCAAAAATACTTCTAATAATCTTATTAATTTTAATAAAGGTTTTATTTCGTCTAATAATGCTATTGAATTAGGTGGTGGAGTCTGTGTTATTAACCAAGCATTATCCCAATCAAATTACATTTCATTTGTAAATGTGACCATTAATAGTAACTCTGCTTGTATTGGTGGTGGGATTGGCATAGAGCAACTTTCTGAAGCAAAAATAAGCTTTTTTTCTACAAGTTTTGACTCAAATAATGCTGACATTGGATCTTCTTTACAAGTACATAATGCTAATATTTCATTTACAGATGTATATATTACAAATAGTAGCAGATCATCAGAATTTGGTGATGGGCAAGGGGCAATACATGCTACAAATTCCAACCTTTTTTTTTATGGGAGTAATTTGATATCTCAAAATAACAACACTGCTTTTGTATTAGATTCTTCAATACTTCTTAATCAAGGGTTGCTTAAGTTTAAAAATAATTCTGGATACCAAGGTGGAGCTCTAGGATTGTATGGAGAATCTTATATATTTTTTGATATCAATGCAATTTTTTTATTTGAAAACAATACTGCTTCAAAAAAGGGTGGAGCTATTTTTGTCCATGTACCAGGGCCTTCTGAACTACCATCTTTAATACCATCTAATTGGGTTTGCTTTTTTGATGTTGTAGAAAATTTCACTGGAGAAGTTAAATTTTTAGGTTATATTTATTTTTTAATTAATTATACTTTTCAATATTTATTTTTTTAAATTTTTAATTAGTATTTTTTTATACTTCTTGAAGAGTTAATTATTTAGTTTAATATAAAAATCTTATGTATATATATGTGTCTATATATCTATATATATATATATATATATATATATATATATATATATATATATATATATATATATATATATATATATATATATATATATATATATATATATATATGTATATATATATATATATATATATATATATATATATATATATATATATATATATATATACATATATATATATATATATACATATATATATATATATATATATATACATATATATATATATATATATATATAGATATAGATAGATAGATCTCGCAAAAGTATAATTTTTCTTACGAAAGTATAATTATTGTTGTAATTAAAATAAAAAACACAATATCATTTATAAAAACTAATTGCATAATATACTGCAATGCTTTTTAAAAAGCATGGTTGTTGCAAAAAAAAAATTAAAGTTAGTTAAAGAGCGCTGATTTATATGAAGAGCAGCTAGCACAGCTCCCCAAGTTCATATATATATATATATGTATATATATATATATATATATATATATATATATATATATATATATATATATATATATATATATATATATATAATATATATATATATATATATTAGTAGCTATTCTAGACTGTTTTCTACAGTGTCAATTGTATTTAGGTGCCACCCAAATTAAAAAGTAAGGGCCTTTTTTTTAATCTTTTTTATGGCAAATATTGTTGTTGTTATTTTTGCGAAAAAGATTATTTTATAATCTTGAAAGTTACTGGAAAAGGTGAAGTTTATAGAGCAAGATAACAATTGACAGATGACTTAAAAGATTGCGAATTATATGAATCAGGAAAGCAAGATACAGAAAGCGAATTCCAAAGAAATGTGTTTAAGAAAAAAAAACTAGACAAACAAGAGATTTTGGAGACTTAGGAACAGTCACATTAAAAGAGTGAGACTTAATTAATTTATGAGTTAATTTAATATAGAGAATAAGTTAAAATACTTGGAAACGTATAACTGAAGACTTAAAAAATTGTAAATTGTATAAAAAAGGAAAACATGAAGATGGGTAAAAGTTCAGGTTTTTTTGATGTACAAGGAAAAAAAAATGGAATAAAAGTTTTTATAGCATGAAAGTTTTTAAAGCATGAAGGGACATATAGTAAAAAGATGCAACTTGTTAAATAAAAAGCCGAGCAAGAATGAGTTTTGGTTTATTGTTATAGAGGTGATAGCTCGTTTGAGCATTGACCATGATTGTATTTGTAGAAAAAAAAGAAATGCAGCCTTACAAAAATGGTAGAGGGGCTCAAGCTGACATATATATGTATATATGTGTAAATATATATATATATATATATATATATATATATATATATATATATATATATATATATATATATATATATATATAATATATATATATATATATATATATATTTATACCTGTATTAAAAGTGTATATGCTTTTTTAGAAAAAGAAGGAAAAAAACGAAGAATAATGAATAAAACGATTGCTGCCTCATCCCAAACCCTCAGTCGATATAGCAGCACTTTACTGGGAGTCAGGCAATTCGTCAGTCGATGTATGTACTGAAGCCCCCAGCAGCAGGCTATTTCAGTATGACATCAGATTGCTTACCATAGTACGCAACACTATTTGTATATATATATATATATATATATATATATATATATATATATATATATATATATATATATATATATATACACATATATATATATACATATATATATATACATACATATATATATATATATATATATATACACATACATATATATATACATACATATATATATATATTTATATATGTATGTATATATATTTATATATACATATATATATATATATATATATAATATATATATATATATATATATATATATATATATATATACATATACATATATATATATACATATATATATATACATATATATATATATATATATATATATATATATATATATATATATATATATATATATATATATATATATATATATATATATATATATATATATATATATATATATATATATATCAGGCTTTCCCAGGAAAGGCGTGCGGTCGCACGCCTTGTTTGTCCACACATAAAATAACTTTTTCTGACTAACTGACCACGTTTTGTTATTATGCGTTTCAAAAATTTGCGCTAAAGCAAAGTTAAACGAAAATACCGCTAAAATGCAAGCAATCTTAAAGTAAATAACAGAAATCCGTTTGTTCTTTAAAATTAAAAAATTAATGTTTATTATTAAAAAAAATTTACCTATATTTTATTTATTTATATATATTTTTTTTTAGTGTGGTAGTTATTTTAGCTATGAAAAATCAAATCAATAAGAAAAATAAAATCGAAAAAAAAAGGTTATTTAATGAAAATAAAAGGACCTTTTAATGTAAAATTTGTTTATGACTTTTATCAGTCAGTAATACTTTAAAATTCACGATAGATCTATAAACAATTTTTAAATGTTTCGTAAATACATTTAAATGTTTAAATGAAAGCGCGAAAACAATTGCTATTTATTTGTAAAATATGTTTTTTTTATTTTCAAATGAAAGAAAATTTTATTGTCAAACGATTGAGTTTATTTTATTTTGCAATCATTAATTGACATTGTTAACAAGTGTTAATATATAATAATGTCCCGAAGGAACTGTTTTCGTAACAATGACAACAGAAGCAATGCAGTTATTTTTTTAACTTCTTTCATAATTACAAAATTATGCAATTGAATAATTTCAACGTAATAAAAGGCGAGCATTGACTCAGTATAATCGGTTGAGAATAAGTCGAGAGAACTTTTTTCACATTAAAGTTTTTTTATGTTTAAAATCTCAAATAATATATCTAATAATTAAAACAGTAATTTATTTTCTTGGAGAATAACGTCATCGCCTTTGCATAAACCTTCGTAAAAACTAAATTAAATTAAAAAATTTAACTAAATTTGTCTAGCGTAAATTTTGAATCAGTTTTTTAATACGTTGTCTGATAAAGTTCGCGAATAAATTACGTATCAAGTCTTTTTATGTTCATGAAAACTTAATAACTTATAGTCGTCTTTTCCTTGACTTGTATCAAATTTCGTAGCTGAAAATAGCAACCCTAAAAAAAAAAAAAAAACTGTATAAAAATTTTGAAAAAAATGTTCAAGGCTTTTTTTTTTTTGTTACAAGAATTTTTTTTTTGAATTTTTTTTTTATTATTAAAATATTTTTCTTACATCCAATTTCAATTTTATACTTTGTTTAGACTTCGTTTCCTTTTTTTAATATTATTTTTTATTCTCTGTGGAAAAGTTTCGCTTTCCCACGAAATATTACCGCGGTCACGTTTTCTGAAAAATTTATTCTATGCGTGGACAAACAAGGCGTGCGACCGCACGCCTTTCCTGGGAAAGTCTGATATATATATATATATATATATATATATATATATATATATATATATATATATATATATATATATATATATATATATATATATATATATATATATACATATATATATACATATAATAAATATGTATATATATATAATTTTTTTATTATTTTTATCTAACTTTATAATTATCAACAAATTTCATCCAATAGTTTCTTATATTTCGAAAATTATAACCAAATAAATATTTAACCCCCTCAATTTGAGGGGGCTGTAAACTTTGTAGGGTCATATAAACTAAAAACTAAGAGGTTATTGCATGAAATTTGAAATTCGTTGATGAATATAAACTTAGATAAAAATACTAAAGAAATTATTTTATCAACTTGTTGCTCCCACGTTAAGGGCTGGGTGGGCCCGAAAATTGAGTTTTTTTGTCCCCAAGCTCCAATCACCACAATTTTTTGCAAAACATTCTCATTTTACATAAGTATGAACATACAAAAGTTTGGAAAATGTGTGTAAGTGTCAAAACTCAAACATCTAAAAATCCAGTGTACACCACTGATATACATATATATATATATATATATATATATATATATATATATATATATATATATATATATATATATATATATATATATATATATATATATATATATATATATATATATATATATATATATATATATATAAACAATTTTTTAAAAAATGTATTCTACAAAAAAAAGTGCTCAATGTTCTTAAAAGAACAGAGCAATTATAAATTAGTAGAAAATCACTTAACAAAAATTATTTTTATTTTACACTGTGTTTCATCAACAAAGACTCATCAGAAATGAATGATCAAATTAATAAAACTTCAATTTATACCAAAAAATTAAATTACAGGAAGTCGCAAATGTTTTAACTACTGTAAATTTTCACACATTTGTGGAATTTGCTGACATTATTATAAAAAGAATTCTCTAGAAATGATTACTTATGCTTTTTTTTTTTTTTTTTTTTTTTTTAAATATTTTTAAAAAAGGGGGGATTTAATGTAAGCTCGCTTATTTTCATAGTTTTTTAGGAGAAACTTATTTTCGTGCCTGCATTTAGAAATCAGTTCCGATTTTTGTTTTAAGGATGGACCAATTCAGTATAAAATCATCAATATTTTTATCTTTTAGTTCCCATATATATTTTGACAGCATGGTGTCTTTTGAATACTTTATATTTTTAAAAGATTGCCTATGATTGGCAAAAACACATTTAACCTCTCTGTCACATTTTAACTTCTCTGGCACATTTAACCTCTCATGCCACATTTAACCTCTCTGAAAATTCATATAAGCCTTTCAAAAAACCAAATGATGAATTATTGTATATTAATATTAACTCAAATCATCCACCACAAATTCTAAAACAAATCCTGATTTCAATTAATAACAGGTTAAATTAAAACTCCTCTAATGAAAATGTATTTAATTCCTCCAAACGAATATTTGAAGATGCCCTTAAAAAAAG